AGAAGTGTTATATTCGTCAGAACAGTTATCTGTATATGTTAGCATAGAAACAAATGCTCTGGCGAAGATACAATAATGAGAAGAAATAAATAAATTAGAAAATATTCTAGAGCAACATTAGTACAAAAAGTATAGTGCTAAACAATAACAATGATAGTAATACAAGAATTATTCTAGAATGGACAATATTTCAAGAGTAAATGCTAGTAAAAATCGGGAAAGAGGTAGTGATGATCTTGGGCGAAGATCAAGTGTAACAACATGGTGAAATATTCATAATTGTATAATCTTTATAAGCAGTGTAAGCACTATAATGCCCATATGAAGTAAATGCTACAATATAAAGCCTTGAATATTGTAGTATGCATTTAAATGAATTCCAAAATACATTTCCATCATGGTGATGTTCGTCTTCATTCTTTGGCTTATAAATCTTTTGTATTTCATCAATAATTAAAAATGTTGTTTTATCACATTTATTGATAAATTCATTTCAAGTTATACTCATAAGCTCTTTAAATCTTTCTGCAAATATTCATGATTCATTTATTAGTTTTATCTATAACTATGAAATGCAGAAAACATATTTCAATTTTTTTTTTACTTTGTCTGATTGGAGCAGGCTATATTCAAGTAGTTGCGCAAGTGCAGTTTTGCTGACCATTGATGATGACCAAACTAGAATAATTTTTTTTTCAAGCAGATACTTAAGCAGTCTATAGATAGTTGGTTCTCTCTTATATATTGTACTAAAAGTAATATCAACACTTTCGTAGGCATTGCTGTATTCTTTTTCTTTATAAGTTGTTCTTCCAAGACCTCCTATTAAATGCAAAATAAAAAAATAAAGTGAATAAAATCTACATTGGTACGAGAGTCAAAAGATTATGAGTTTATATCTAGCCTTACGTTTGTTAAGTTATTATTGTGTAAAAGATATTAAAAAATGAAGACCAAGAAGAAAATCAGAGAAAAAAATGCAATTAGTCAAGATCGTAAATTCTTTGTTTAAGAAGTAAACCATTAGGAGACACTTACTAGTGGTGGCAGGCAGTAGTAGTTGCATAATGATGCGGATGTTCTTCAAGTTACTATATGCAAAAATGTTATCAAAATCATCAAATGGAGTCAACTCTTGTTCTTCAAGATCTTGTATAATAATATCTTTATTATGAGATCTGTTTTTAAGCGTTCTTAGTTTAATGAATTTATCGTTTTCTGCATTGCCAGGAATATTTACCTTCCATAGATACAAGTTGCTGGGATCAAAATTTTTGAAATTGTTCTTATTCTTCTTATAGATTACTTCCCTTAATTTTGAAATACTCATTCTTGCTTGACCTCCAACTTGAAAGGAGCTCTTAACTTTGGTACCCATTACAAAACAAAATATCATTATATCGGTGGTATATCTGCAAATACGTAAATCGAGTGTTAAAATAGGATTTTCCAGTAAGTACAAATAAAGACGTTGTTCATTTTTTATATAAGTTCAGTTCTGTTAACATAATCTGTTTCAAAAAAATATTATACTTGTAAAAACTTACTGATTTTATATATACTCTAGCTAAAAACAGGTAATTTTCACATAAGTCAAATAAATATACAGTAATATAATATGCCTGTATAGTTTAAAAAAAGTATTGAGCTTACAAACAAATATTATTTTTCATACAAACCTTATTATAGCACTTTGGAATGCAAACAACATAAATTTCATTGGGTTTTATTATAACTGATAATATTGGGACAAGCGAAAACTACAGAAACATTATTTCATTATATTTTTTATCAATAAATCAGTAATTCCAATCAAGAAATCATCTTATTTTTTATCTATGCTAATGAACTTTTAAATTATTCTATCTTATATAAAAATTATTATCGAATATGCAATTTAACAATTAATTAAGAGGATTAAATGCCAAGCTTTTAACTGAGATTACTAAACTTAGGAGAACTGAAATTCTGAAACTTAAAGAGAAGTTACTAATATTTGTTAAGGTTGAGGCTGAGAATGCGAGGTTGAAACAAATTATTAAGAAAATATAAGGCATTGAGGAATTAGAACAAAAGAATAAAAAGTTGATGAACAGTTTTGCTATATTAGAACAGGGAGAAAAAGATATTTCTATAAAAGATGTTTTGCAATCTTCAGTAAATTCTAACAATACTCTGGCATCTAATATATCTGATAATACTTCTAATTCTAATGTTACTTCTAAATAAATAGAAAATAGTTTCAATATAATATCTGATTCTAATATATATCAGAAAAAGTGTAGCCAATCCTTTACATCTTCTATTATTATAAAAACTGTATCATCAGAAGAGAAGAAAATTAATGATTTCCTAGATAGCATATATAAAGAAACGATTGATGTGAAAATAAGAAAAAAGAACCTGAAAAAGAATCTTAGATATCAAGACAAAATACAGAAAATCATATTGTTACAGGAAAATAAGGGTGAGTCATTATGCAATTCTATAACAGGTATCGAGATAAAAATAGGAGGAATAAAGAAAACAATCAGGATAATTGAAATAATGAAAACATGTATAAGTATACCCAATTTTCGTGGTAATAAAGGCAACAATTGTGTGCTTATCATTGTGAGCAAGTGTGCTCAATTACAAATAAACTTTATCTGTATGAATAAACCCATGTATTTCATTTTTTAATGTCATATTTTCTCTTCGACCATAATCAATTGATTATTTAAAGCTTATTAAAATTTCTTGGAATTTCTTCTTATTAATTGATATAAATATTATTAAAAATTGTTATCAATTTTTTAGAAAAGCAAATTATAAAAATAATTCATTTATAAAAAAAATTCAATAATAAATATTTGTAAATTGCATTTGAGTAATGATTAAAAATAAAAATATTTGATTAATTAATTAAAAAAAGTATATATATTGGTATCTTAAAAATAAAAAATAATAAACTTGTTATATTCTTGTTTTTCAAAACAATAAAAATCCTTAAGATAATTTAAATAATACTATCAAATATAATGTCTGGAAAAAAATTTTTTTTTATATCTGTATATAATAATTTTTAATTTCTTAATAAATCAGCAAAGTTTTAATATTTAATATATTAAAGTATATTATAAATTAAAAAATCAAATATTAACTCATTTAGAATAACTTATTAATTAAAATATTATATTGCGAGTAACTAATATTACAAATATTTATTATTTTTATATATTAAAATATCAATATTTAATTTTGATCAAATTTTATCAAATATTTTAAAACATATACTGTATATTATATATCTTCTTTTGTATACTAGTTTATATACAACCAACACATAATTCTGAATATCAAATACTATATGTATAAATAATTTATTTATATAATATTATATTATTTTTGTAATAATACTGTTGTAATGATGGGAAACGGTGAGTCTGTCACTTGCACGCAGGTCTTGTCATGGCATGTCACATCACAGCTAAGTAGGCCCACTTTGCACTATTTAGTTATATAGTTCGTGTCATCACTAACACTTCTTTCTTCTGGTCTTGTAGGCAAAAGAGGTGATTGGATTTGGTCGATCTTCATCTGTCGATTATTGAGATCATGGGCAAAACGAAAATGTAACACTGGAAAATAGAACACTGAGGTTTATCACACAGATAAAGGTTTGATCATTAAATGAGCACACTTGCTGCTTTATTATTAAGAGAGTTGGGTACATTTTTACATGTTTCCATTATTCCAATTTTCCCAATTATCCCAATTATCCTCTTTATCCCGATTATCCTAATTATCCTCTTTATCCCACCGGTTTATATTGTGATACCCGATATAGCATCACGTGACGAATCACCAATGGAAGAAACAAAGTGATAAAAAAACAATAATTTGAACTATATCTTTTTAAGACATCTGGAACTTGAAAAAATATCCAAGTCATATAATATATAACATGTGACATATAATATATACCACCTAACATATAATGCAAATTTCAAAAGATATTTGATATTATTTTAATATAAGTTTCTAAATACCAATAATTCTATATTGTTTCATTTTAGTTTCTTTAATTATACATTCAAAATGGATTTATTAAAAGATATTTTACTGCTCATCAGAGTTATATTTTCCAGCCAATTTTTCTCTACTTCATGACCAAAAACAATTCGCAGGAAGCCCCAAATCCAATTAATACAAAGATGACTTCCATCCTCAAAAAGCAACAAAAAATTGTCTCTGATCTACCCAAGAATGTGAGGCATCTTGGTTTCAATATTCGTGAAGTTCGAGTTGGGGTTGCGAGAATTAGTAATGCGGGATCTGGTACATCCAAAACGCCTCAAAACTATACAGGCACCATTTTCGAACTGTGAGAGGAATTGATTTATTCAAGGAGAAAAAACGTTTCGAAAAGCGGTTCATGGCAAGGCTGTATCCCAAAGTTGCTGAAGAAATTAGTGAGATCGTAGTAAAGCGTAGCGATCAGTGATACCACTGTTAGAAATTTTCACAAGCGCACGACTAAAAACCCGAAAGAAGATACACTGGATTCATTAAAATTATGGGTGTCAAACAGAAGGGTGAAATAGATACTGAACCGTAAAGTGAGGAGGAATCAGAAGATAGTGATGATGCTGGGCCTAGCGGGACGAGAGAATAGGAGTCCACAATATAATACCAAGTCCAAGCTTTTTATATCTGTATTAGCGAAATCTCTTAATTTTATATATTTCGGCGCAGGCTTATCCGTGCTGAAAGAGAAATAAATTTTAGCCGTGCTAACTTGATTATTAATTGGGCTCGTGATTTTTTTAACAATCCGATCAATTGTGGGAAAAAACCAAAATGGCAATATACACAAACTCTGATGGGTATTCCTTTGTTCAAACTTTTAGCAATATTAGTAAAGCAAGCGCTACCATTGTGTGAGTAAATACGTGTAAACTAGTATTTCTCTAATCTGTTAGTTATTTTTCAGGGCTATTTTTTAGCGAGACAGTTGATTTTGTTCCAAAAAGAATGCCAGAGTACCATTATTATCGAACCCTGTGGTGGGAAAAAGGCGACTTCAATCCAAAAGCAAAATGGGAAGAAGCAACGTGAGTCCCTTTCCTAATTTGTTTTAAGTTGACTCGCTATTTTATGATCTAGTAAGATATAAGCAAATTTTTATTATTCATATCAAGACTTCCGTACAAACTTGCGGTTGGTGTCACCTTAGAAGAATATGAAGAGCGTTCGGATAAGTTTAGCATCCGTGGATATTGGGAATGGGTTAACGGCGATGTTATAATTTATGAACTGCCATCGAAACCACACGGAACATTTATTTCTACAATCACTCATGTATTATTCAGGCAATGCGATCCTGTGTTTGGAACTGATGGCAGTATCATACCTCTTGGCGCAATTCGTAAATATATTAATTAACTGTCCCAGCCTTATGTTTGTGACATAAAACAAATCTTTGTTCTTCTTAAGGAACTCGCGCCGACGATTCTGAGAAAGAAGGGGATGCATCTTTTCGCCCTGAAAAACCACGAGTGCGACCACCAAATGGGAGTGATGGAAAGGTACCTTCTTTTATTGGCTTGGAACTCTTCAGAATTAAGATATCATATTTTCACGATTTTAGGGAGAGCCCTGGCCAAATATCGTCATCGAAGTGGCGTATTCTGAGAGTGAATCACACGTTCTTGAAAAAGCGAAATATTTCTGGTTACGCAATTGGAGTCGTGCCCACGACGTGATTGTGGTTAAGATTGATAAATCTCCTGAAGAAGATCAAGCTCCTTTACGAATGCAGGTAAGTTATATTCCTAAGTACACATTGTCTGCCAGTCATTTTAAAGAATTTAACTAAAGAATTTAACCTATTAGGCATGGCACTTTTGTGCCAGGGACAGAATTAGAAGATCAATGGATATCCAGCCTCGGGCCTATGTAATGTCATAAACAAAGAATATTAATCTTCTTTATCATTGTGTTAAATTTCTAACCTGATGTTTAATTGTTAGTTTGAATTCGGTATCCATGACAAAGATGGGAACCCGACAAATATTCAACCAGGCCAATGTGTCATCAACATTTCCCTTGATTGTTTGTATCACGATGCATTTCCTGAAGCTACGACTCACCGACAACTTCTCCCTGATCCAATTGTACTGGATTTCTTGATAATTCGAAACCAATTCCTTCGTGCGTATCGAATCAGATAATAGAAGGAAGTAAATGATGCAATAATTATGGGCCGTGTCTGATTTTGCAATTTATTTATCAATAAACAAAGAAATTTTTTACGCGTGATAATGAGCGTATTATGATTTATTTGGGGTCGTCTCCGAAATGTACAAATCCGAGACACGTGAGGAGCGTAAATAGTCTAATAAACTCAAAACCATTTCTACTATGTAAATATATAAATCACGATCGCGTGTCAGGAACGCCCATAACAATATGCTTCTTCTTTGACCATGAGTCATCTCAGGAAGTACGATCATGATCATTATAATAATCAAGATTGTGACAACATCCCAGCATAGTTATCAGGGTTGTCATTTACGGGTAAGGTTTTTGCTATTCTTTTTGGCTTCATTATAGTATCTAACTTTTTATTTTATTTTATTTTTCTTTAGGGCTTGGTTCTTTTTTTTCGTTGTTTTTCAATCTAAAACAGTTATCCTTCAAGATGGCTATTGTTTTATTGATCATAGTTACTCAGTTTTCAGGTGGTTGGTTGTTTTACTAACTCACTGTTGTCTCCCTTTTTCTCCATTATTATTGGAGTGTTAATCGTTTAAGTGGTCTTGATCTCACAGCATCTGTTTTTTCATACTTTGGGATTATTTCTTTCTGTTATCCCAGTTTGTTTCAGATACATTCTTTGGGTTTTGCAGTACATTTTACATTTTTGATTCTTTACAGCATTTTTTCATTTTTGCTTGGAATTCTCACTTATCTTTCTTTCCTTGCTTCCAATTTAATTTACTGTTTATGGGTTTCTTTTTCTTAGTGATATCACTATTTCTAACACAAGCTTCTGGAATCTTGCAGATAAGTTTTTGTTTATACCAATTGGTTTTGCTGCTATTGTTACACTTGATTTTTGTTCAAGATCTTCATTAGCTCTTGTCAGATTTTTACTAGCCTTTACTCTTGAAATACTATTTATCCTAGAATAATATTTAGATTACTACTCTTGTTATTGTTTAACACTATACTTTTCGTGCTATTGCTGTTTTATAATATTTTTTATTTTACTAATTTATCTTTATTCTTTTATCTTTACCAGAGTATTTGTTTTTATACTAATACATACAGATAACTGTTCTAATTAAGGATTCTAATAATTCAATTCAATTTTCAATTCTTAGGTTTATATTAAATTTACTATATGGGTTATAACTCATTATTATTTTTAATAGTGTTCCAAACCTCATGTGAGTTTATATGAGTTTGTTTGATTTAATTTTTAGAGTTATAGTTCTAATAAATATAATACTTTTTTTTAAAAAAAAAATTACAAACAGGTATTAAATACAAGATATTTATTAAACATTAGTTTATTATCATTACATTAACAATCTTTAGTTTACAAAGTAAATAAATTAATTGTAACCTATTACAACTAATTAATTAGTATGTATTGAGACCAAGTAGATCTTTATATGTTAAAGGTATTGAATAGCTAATACCTATTCAAAACAATGAAACTATAGCTGGAGTAAATATTTTTTTTATCAATGAGATTATTAGATTTTCTAAAGTGTTTAGTATTTTTGAAAGATATTGAGACTTTATTAACTAGTATTGATAGTTTCACTAGAGATATTAGTTTTTTTCCATTTAATACCTAAGGATATTGAAGTAATGGCAGTAGCTAAATATTGTTTTCAGATTTTGTATAAAGTTTTGAAGAAATGGTTTAAGATTTCTTCTTTCTTTTGAAGAATATTAAATAGGAGAGCAAATTTGCCTAGAGCAAGTTTGAGAAAATTGGATTTATTTAGATTGATAAAAAATAATTGATTTGCTTCAATTAAGTTATTTTTGGATATGTTGGCAGTAATTATTGCTTCAAGTTTCTTTCTTTTTTTTCTTAAAGTTGGCAGGCTTTGATAACATGTAAAAATATGATTAAGATCTTTTAAATATACTTTACAACATAGACATAAGCATTATTATAAAGTTAAGGATATTTGTTATGAAGTTTTTTTTTAATGAAAAGTTAATGTGCAATAATTTTTGTTCTGAAGATGGCCAAAGATCTATAGTTGGTATTGTTAGTTGTCTTGAGTTATTTGTTAGATTTGGTAATTATATTTAGTTCAGTAAAGATTTGAATTTGTAAGTTACAGATATACTGAGAAAAATGTTGAAGAAGTTAATATAGTAATTTGTAAACTTGATCCATTGTATAATACTTGTTACATAGTTATAATTAAGGAATTATTAGAAGCTGATTCTTGTTAAAGATCCAGATAAGAGTGACTTGTTTGATGTTAAGTTTGTTATTAGTTATTTTTATAAGATAACTATAAGGCTGTTTGACTTATCAGTTGATATAATCAGATAGTTCAGTATTAAGTTTGTAAGCTGAATAACATGTTATTGTCAAGTACAATAAATTTTTTGAAAGTAGTGAAATTAGAATAGGCCAAGAAAGGATTAAGGGATTAGCTTTAAATTTGTAAGTAATATAATTTGAAGGATTAGAAATGGAAATATAGTTCTCATTTGTGAAGTATATATTGTAATTGATAGGTTATAAGAAGTATAGTTAAGAATAAATAGGTATAGCCACTGCTTGATTGATAATGGAGGTAAGGCTAGCTATTAACTTTTATAAATTATTAAGAATAAAATAATTGTTGTTTTTTTATTGACCAAATAAATTTGAGTTAGTTAGTATTGATTATTTTAAGGCAAGGTTGGTTAATACAATCACATTTGTTGAGTTGCATTATATTAATAATTATGAAATATGAGCCTGTAACTGTTTGTTGGAAAATTGCATTGAGTCTGGTTTTGATGAGATTAATAGTATTAAAGCTGTTTAAGTATGTTCAGAATTGAGACTTGCAATTAGATATAGACAAAGTATTTTTACTAGTTGTATTGCTTAATTGAGATATATTTTTGAACCAGAAAGGTATAAGATTGAATAAAATAAATCTCCAATGTATATATGGTTTTTTTAAAAAAAGTTTTTTATAAGAGTTAAAGATATAGATATTTTGTACTGTTTTAAGATTGAAATAATATAATATAAGAGTGGTTTCCCTATTAACCTTGATAAGGAGTTTGATAGATTGTTGGTAATTGGAAATTTCAAATAGATAGGAAGAAAAACAAATATTTATGTTGTATTTTTTTTGCCAAACAAGCTATAGATATTAGTCAAGTTTTTTTGAAATAAGAGGAATCACATATGAAATATAATCAGATAGCATATATTGCTTATATAAAATTTATTTTTTTTTATATGAAGAAAAGTTTTGAGATTTGTGAGTTTGATAATAAGTAGTTTAATAACAATAAAATCCTTTCTGTTTTCAAGTTTGATAATATTAAGTCTTGTCTGAGAGAAGAGAATTTTATTTGAAATTGTTTATTTAACATTCAGTTTGCTTTTAATTACCTTGTTTATTTTAGTTTGAAGGTAATTGAAATTAGTTTCTGTTAGATTTGTTGTTTGAATTGTATAGTCTAATTGTATTGGAATAATCCAGTGAAATGTTAGTCTTGTAATAAGTTCATTTCAATCTTTTTGATTTGAGACAGCATTAATGAAATTGTATACTTTTTCCTTGAATTTAATTTTGATTAAAATTGATACCGATTTCTTAAAGAGGTAAACGCCTAGATATCAAATTGCTTTATAACAAGATTTAGTCTTAATTGATTTGTTCTTGACATATAAAATTTGGTTGTAATGTGAACTTCTTATACTGAGATTTGTAATAAAATCAGTTTTCCTCTTATTGCATCTAATAGAGTTCAGCTTGAAAAAAAAACTGAAAATATTTGTGACATCTTGAAAAAAGCTAAGAGAGCTACTAAGTAGGGTAACATTATTTATATAAGCAAGTAATTTTGAGTTTATGATATAAGACTAGTAATTTGAATGACTATTGAATTATAAAAAATGATCCATAAAAGTGGAGTTAAAGTTTTATCTTAATCAATTCTATTGCTAGTATTAAGGGAATTAAATTAGTTAACTTTTAGTATGAGATTGTAACAAATCTATAGAACGTCCGACTGAAATCCCAATTTTCTCCCAAAAGTCAGAAGACAACCTCTCAAACGCTTTTAAGAAACTATAAGTATTTTGAGTAGAGGAACATCTTTTATTAAGGGCCGAAAAGATATTGTCAACACCGATTTCTCAATAATTAAGGATTTACACTTCCGGCCGAAGAATACTAATAGATGGAATTAAACACACATCGGAAGTCACATGACCACTGCAGA